TTTAATAAAAGTTTCTTCCCATATGCTAAAAACATATTTTTTCATGATATTAATAGGCCAAAAGATTACATTTAGTGCTATGTGAATTAAGAATAAATGATTTGTTTTTCACGTTAACCCAGAACCAATGCCAAAGCTCATATTGCCACACCGGGCAGCAAAATTTACCGGGGACAAGATTTTTAGAATTAAGAGAATCACCTTGCATCAAAATTAAAGGATAAAAGTATTTTTAGAATTTAGCAAAGGCACTGTTATCCAAAATTTAAGGGCCGCAAAAATTTAAACTTAGGTGCTTGTTAGCAGAATTTAGGACCCGCAGAGGGTGCATCAAGGCGATACAATATCTAGCGCCGGCACTCAAAAAGCCTTAAGTATATGTGGGAATTTATTTATTCAGGATTCACATAAGACTTAAGCATGTGCAAGAAATAGATGCAAGTATAATAAATAACTAAACTAATACAATCAGGCTTAATTGTCTCAATGCGCGATAGAAGAAAGACGAAATTTAACAGAATAACTTGTCTTTTGTCCCCAATCTCATGACACATAGCCAATAATGTATAGCAGACGCTATAAAGCTAGGCTAAAATTATACTTTACTGATTCTAAGGAATTTCAGTTAATATAGCATATTGCAGTGTTCCTTAATCTTCTAATTTCATCCAGCTTAATAATTTTTGCAGTTTGTTATTACACAATTTTATGAAAATTAAAGTTCCATCTTTCGATCATGTCAAAAAGAGTTTCTAATTCTGGAGCTGTAACAGGATCTACAAACCAAAAGTATGTTTCGATGTCTATTATACAAAATGTGGAATTGCTGCAAAAAATGGATGAAGGTATATCCGTCTCAAAATTATGCAAGGAGTGTGGCATTGGAAAGTCACCTGCATATGACATAAGATAACAGAAAAAAAATTTCTGAATATTTTGTAGATTCCGACACCCTGCTCGCAACAAATAACAGAAAAATTATTTGTTATGCTACAAGTGAAGATCATAACAAAGTGATAACTGAATGGTCAGACAGCGTCACAGCAAGGGCGTGCCATTGACAGGTCAAATGCTAATGGCACAAGCTAAAATATTTCACGAAGAAATTAACTTTAAATAACTGAGTCACATATTCGAAAGGTTGGTTAATCAAATTTTAAAATCGCTATGCTATAATGCAATTAAGAATTTCAGGTACAAAAGCATCAGCTAATACTGAAGCTGCTGAAGTATTTGCAGATGAATTCATTGAACTCATTAATAGTTAAAAGTTGGAAAGCTAAACAGATGAAACTGGTCTTTTTTGGCAATATATACTGCAAAATACCTTGGCAACTTCTACAGAAAAGGATCCAACTCATGTCAAAGATTCAAAAGCGAGACTAGCAATTTCAGCATGCGCAAATGCGGCTGGAACACACAAGTGTAAACTTTTTATAATCTGAAAAAATGCACGACTTTCAGAAATTAAAGGAGTAAAACGTTTTGCATAATATATCATGCAAATCAAAGAACATGGATGACACAAGTGTTAATGAATGATTGATTTGAAAATCATTTCATATCCGAGGCTCAGCAGAATTTGATTGGTTTACCTGACACCGCAAAAACTGTCCTGATTGTAGACAACTGTTCAGCTCATACTTTGCTTAAAATTTTAGAGATCCATCTATCCGTATTATTCTTTCCTCCAAACTGAATGTCCATCATTCAGCCTAAGGATATTGGAACAGAGTGTGCACTGAAATGCAAATGTAAAGTAGAACTTTTAAAATCTATGTTAAATTTCCTCCTGAATAACGGCAAGCCTATTCAAGAATATTTGAAATATTTTAGCATAAAATCTGCTTTGTGGAGCATGGCAAGATCATAGGAGGATGTGTCTCAGGATACTTTACAAAATGCTTGGCATAATTTACGGCCAGCTAGCATATTTCATGGTGAGGTTGATGAATATGATAGTCGCAAGTGCAAAAGCTTTCAGATATCGCAAACCAAAGGTTAAATTTTACAATTGATGGATTTTTTAAATAAATGTGGAGAAGCAGTAATAAATGAAGATGATATAACAGAAGCTTTTCATTGTGATGACAATGCCCCAATTTTCAATCAATTAACGGATGTCAAAATCATAAATATGGTTTTAGATTCTGAAAATGCCACTACCGACAGTGAAGAAAGTGACAGAGAGCTTATTGAAAATGAAAAAATTTCAACTGACAAGTTAGTCAGAATTCTCGACACAACAATTACAGGACTTGAACAATGGAACTTCGTAACTGAATAAGAAATTATATCTGTCTACAGAATTAAAGAGAAAATATTAGTATAAAAAAGCAACTTAAACAACTTACATTGAAAGAAATGTTTAATAAAGTAAACAAATAAATGTTAAGCTTTTTTTTTTTTTTTTTTTTTTTTTGGTAAATTTTGTTATCCTTTAGATCATAAATGCTTCATTATTTCATAAATCGCGATTTCATATTTTTAATTTTATAATTTCTACATGCCATCTTGCAAGCATTAAACTGATAATCTAATATCCAGAAAAATCCCAAATCCGAAACCCAACAAGGCTGGATCATAGACTTTTTACTGTATATGCAATATAGAAGTATTAAATATTGCATCTGCAATATAGAAGTATTAAATATTGCATCTAATACTTATGGAAGTATTCTATGCTCAATTCTCCTTAAATCCCTTCCATCTGATTTAATCCTTTAAAAATTCCATTAATTGGAAAATATAAGGAAGAAAACGAGAGCTTAAATATGATTTATACAATCTAATGACAAGCGGCACCAATAATTTCTCTCTCTCACCAAACGAAACATGAAAAGAAGTTATCAGCATTATAAAATGGATATTAGATATTGTTCGTGTCGTAGTTACTGTCTACAGATGAGATTTGAAATTATAAACATTTGATCTGCATATTTTCTGATATAGATCATCAAAGTTCAGAATTTTGTAATGCAGTTTGTTTAACCTTAGAGAAGAGAAACCAGAAGTTAATTAAGAAAGTGGTTTGATTTGAATGCCTAAAACTAAAATATCTTTTTCATTTGGGTAAAGCCAAAGTCAAATGTTCTACGCAGGATAAGGCTCGTTTTTTGATAATGTGTTATGCCGTTCAGAATGATTCTCACAGAAATAATTCTAAAGACATTAATGAGTGTGAGAATGATAAAAAAAAGACTGCATTGTGACACATAAATCTTGTTTGCATTTAGTTAATTTGCAATCTTTAGTGGTAAAATTTTGCAGGGACGAGATTGAAAGATATGTGAGAATTTTAACAAATTGTGGTTTCCAGCGATCCTACATTTCAAAGTATTCATGAATTATAAAACATGTGGTAAAGAAGAAGTAATCCATACACTGTTTGAAGAAATTGAAAAGAAAGTACCATTTACAACTGGGCATTTGCGTGTGCACAAGTGCAGAATACGTTTTCGCTGCACGTTTAATGTATAACGGACGGTATAAGCTAAAATTATCTAATTGTCTATTTCAGTTAATGTTGATGATTGCGTTGTTCCTTAATCTTCGAATTGGATCCGGCTTATTATTTTTTGCAGACTGTAAGAGCAATTTTATAAAAGTAAGCTTGAACTTTCGATTATGTCAAATAGAATTTCCGATGCTGGAGCTCCCAAAGCATCTACGAAAATGAAAGTATGTTTCGATGTCCATCAAACAAAAAGTGGAATTGCTCCAAAAAATAGATAAAGGCATATCCTTTGTTTATCTAACCGTTCTGAAATCTGTTTATCAATTTTACGCTGTTCTGCGCGGGGAAGGGGACATGGCGTCGCGCAATGAACTGGAAGTTGATCTGTCAACACTATCATTATCTTCAGGGCAGATGTTTTTCTTTTATTTGGCTTATAATTCCTTATTAAATGTAGTATTTCATCTCGATGTACTTCGTCTTTGATAGGATTTAAATCAAATTCCTCGTCATTATAAATATCACGAATACAAATCAAATAGTTTTCTGGTTGCAATTTTCTAATTTCGGCTATGCATAATGTATACTTTACGCATGCGCGCGTTGAAAGAAATGTTTAATAAAGTAAACAAATAAATATTAAGCTTTTTTTTGTATATTTTGATACCCTTTAGATCATAATTGCTCATTATTTTATAAATTATGGTTTCATATTTTTAATTTTATAAATTTCTGCATGCCATCTTACCAGATTTAAACTGATGATCTATAATCCGGAAAAATCGATAATCCGGAATCACCGAAGTCCCGACGAGTCCGGATTAAAGACTTTTGACTGTAATGAGCTTGCTAATTTAACATTTACTCTTTCATAGCAAAACTGCCTAACCACCCACACATGTAAACATCAGGCAGTTGCCCAACCATGTAAGCTTAATGCTTTCCCTCATTGCATTAATACATGTGCTTACTAGTTTTCATGTTTGTTAATCAGTGAGGACCTGTCTTATTTGAATGAATCTTTCCCAACTTTTTGTTAATCGTCAGCACTTCCTTCTGGACCTACTGTTATGCGCACTGATTCATTACATTGTTGCAATCTACCTAAGGGACAAAACTATAAAGGACCTAACATAGCAAAGAGCCTAATAGAAAAGTGACCATTTTAAATAAACAATATTTAACTTATAGCAGTTTACATTTTAGGGGTAGATATTTCTTTTGAACAGAATTTTGTGAGTACAAGCAGTTCAGGAGTTTACCAGGACTAGATTTTGAGGTCGACAGATAGAAAAAACTCAACTATGTAGCTCACGATAAGAGTAATCAACTACAGCAGATTAATGTTAAGCATATTACTGAAGTATTACTTATATACAAAGGATATGAACAATTGTTAGAAACAATTACTAAATTATTGAAGCAAATATTCTTTATCCCAAATTAAGAAACATCAAACATCACATAAACAAAGTTATATGAGTGTGTATCTTATAAATCATGTCAAAAAACCTATAGATTTAAATGCATGTAGTACACTTACTTCTGAAATTTTATTATCTCCAAACCAAAAAAGCCACATTTTATTTTTTGACTGTTTTTTTCCACAATCTTTGGCATCTAGAATAATTGCTGGCCACCATGGGTAAGTTTTCATTTTACCCCAAACAAGATCTCCTCTTTGGAACATTTTGAAACTAACCTAAAATAGAATTTTGCTTGTATTAAATTTTTAATACATGTTTCTGCATGATTTTAACACAATTTACTTGCATACACCATATTTAAATGGAAAAGCAAATTTAATACATTAGATAACAAATTTGGCTTCTAAAGCATCAGATGAAAAGTTATAAAAATAAAAAAGATGGTCCAATCACATAAAGAAACCTTTCTTAGTAAGCTCCTCTGTAAATAACCACAATTTCTTAGGACATAAATATATACTGGTAATGACAATTATCATATTATTCTATGAAACCACCACCTCCTAACCTAAGCATATGATTAATACACATCAATGTGTCCAATTTATGCATTTCATTTTGGCACTAATCTAAAATATTTTTATGAACTCATCAATAAATCAACAGACTTTTACTATAACAATAGAAGTATTTTTATTAAAAATAGTGATTAAACATTTCTGAATTATTACTTTTATTCTTTCTTTGCAAAGTATAACTCAACAAGTAAATTTGATTTGATGGTTTTAATAAATTCTTTGAACGATTCATCATATTTTAAAATTGCTTATTATTTTCTCATACTAATGTAGTTCACTTGTTTCTGATGTCAACATTTATTTAAAAGTTAGCAGTTTAGTGCATGCAATTTTTGTTTTAAATTTCATATATCTTTTATCATAATTTCATATACCTTTATATTATTTACTTTGATTAAGATAGCTGAATGACCTTAAACTAAGATGTCTTTAGAACGAAATGTAAATATCTAAATTTTTTCAACACATTTAAAAATGACTGGCAGTGCTTCTGGTGGTATGTCACAAAGGATGCTGGCAGAAAATTAAAGTGTAATAAAATTTCAAAAGCAATAATACAAGGGTAATAAAGTTCCCAGGATTTTCAAAAGAAAAGGAAACAATAAAAGAAAAGCAGCAGAAAATTCAGTACTTTCTGGTTACCCACATCCCCCACTTGAAAAGCTTCAAATTTGTTGTTGATTTATAATGCTTAAAAAGCATTTGTGAACTTGTTGGTGATTAAATTTTTGCCAAGCCAATATGCAAAAGGCAGCAACCATTTTCAAAATGGTTAGCTGGATGTACTATCCAGTTACATAATGAAGGCATGATTGCATACTTCATTTACCACATAAATACTTTTGGGCGACATCATAGGTAGCCGCTTAACTATTTTGGCAACATACTGCTTTGTCTCATGAAAACATTTTCGTGACTTTTTGATGGGGATGAGGATAAACAGAATGTAACAAAAATACAAAAAGGGAAACATATTTTACCCATGAAAAGAAAATAATAATTTAATTCTGGTAGATTTGAAGGTGCTTGTGTATAAAGACTCCAAATTAATACCAGTATTCTTTGAGGTAACACCATGTCCTGCAAAAAGCTAAAACAATCAATTCTTAACCTAAGAAATAATAAAATGATGAATTTACTTTATGAAGCTCAGACTTTTTTTAGGAGGCAGGGACAGGTGATTAATCAAAAATGAAATCTCAAGTAGACAGATTTTATTTAATGACTATGTTAATAAGTAGTTTTTGAAATAGCTAAAACAAAAGTTTATTACTTGAAAAATTTGCAATCTATTTAATGAAATGCAAAATCTGTTTTCTGCATTTTAAAATATTCTTCATTAATAATAACCCAGAGAATTGAGTTTTAGGAATTCTCCCTCTTCCCCTTTGTGGGGACTATATTGTTTGCTTCTTATCTTTCTGATATGGTAAAATCAATATACTTCAGAACTTTTCTTCAAGAAATGCTTCACTGGGATAAATCTATTTTCCAAATCGATAAATGTCATCTTCATCTTCCCTGATGCAACCTACTCCGAAAAAGACAAAAAGTATCTGAAACTGCGAGTAGTTAGTCATCTTGAAAAGTTTCGTATATGCAGCATTTCCCAAACATTTTTCAAGTGGGGACCACTTTCATAAATTGAAATGACCTGAAGACCATCTTACTCTTTTCCCCTTCAGAAGTAAATTTTTAGCATATCATTCAACCAATATACCAATACTTTAAAATACAATTAATTAAATTCGTTTAATTTTATATTTCTATTAAGTTAATAGAAGAAAATTTATATATTTGTCTCCAGTAATTCAAGGCTATTGGAATTTGGATAAATTTTATCTAATTAACTGAAAATTAAATAAATTTGATATTTGTATCAATGAGCTGGAAGAGGCTATCAATTCTTACATAGCTGTTCTACATTTGGATATATGCTTTTAAGATGCATCACTGTTATAGTGCTTTAAATTCCTCTTTTGTTGTAAAGAACTTAAGTGGGAAGTCAATAGGTAGGGTAACAGGTAATAAATTTCTCAAAATGTGAGAATCTCTTGTGAGAACAATTGATAGATGACTGCTATGTGTAATTTCAGAGTTCTGAGATTTTTAGCTATAGCTATAGTATGGTATATGCAGTTAACTTGAATTTTATATTTTGTCTTATTTGGAATTCTAAGAGGACCACATATTGGGAAATGCTGGTATATTATGAAATCTTCCTAATACTATAAAACATACAGGACAGGACAGGAAAAAGTGCAGGGGGCACCACGACATCGCCATAGACAAAAATGGTATTGCCCCACTGCACTAACCTTTTCTGGCATTTATAAAACATACAGTATGAATCAACAAAATCTTCTAACACATTCAGTAAAAATGTATACCTAAACCATTCCTTCATTCAGTATCTATACCCAGTGCCGGCGCAAAGTTCAGTTTTGCTAATATCAGTACAATCTAAAATATTTCGCTTTAAAAAAAAAAAGCTTTTTGAAGAGATGGTAAGATTTTCTCTCTTATACTACTGCCAATAATTTGCAGCATTTCATTTTGACTATTCTGTGCTTAGATAATGAACTTAGCTGTTGCTACCTTTAGGTTATAATACTCTTTCTAGGTAAAATTCCATAAACTAGGTTGAACTTTGCAAACAATTCCACTAATTTTAAGCAGTTTCCGCTGTCTTTTAGGTACAACACATCAGATGAACTTCGAAAGGCTAAATTTCATTAATACGGTTCATTAATAACTTGTCCTAATTCAAACACAGCTTTAATTCATTTGAAACTTGACTAATTTGGTTTCATTCTTCCTATAATGTTATATACCATGTCCACTAAAGTCCTTACCTGATCTTTATTTTCACAATCATTTGCCACACATTATTATTATAATGTGTGGCTATATTATTATTATAACTATATTATTATTATTCCATTATTTGCCACATAACGGACGGTATAAGCTAAGCTAAAATTATCTAATTCAGTTAATGTTGCAGATTGTGTTGTTCCTTAATCTTCGAATTGGATCTGGCTTATTATTTTTTGCAGACTGTTAGAGCAATTTTATAAAAGTAAGCTTGAACTTTTGATTATGTCAAATAGAATTTCCAATATATATTTACTAATATGTAAAGGATCTACAAAGCGATAGTATGTTTTGAAGTCCATTAAACAAAAGTTGAATTGCTGCAAAAAATGACCTAACCATTCCGAAATCTTTTTATCAATTTCACGCTGCTCTGCGGAGGAGGGGGGGCGCCGCGACGCTCAATGAATTGGAAGTTGATCTGTCAGCACTATCCTTACCTTCAGGGCAGATGTTTTCATTTTATTTGGCTTATAATTCCTTACTAAATGTAGTATTTCATCTTGATGTATTCCATCTTTGATATGATTTAAATCAAATTCCTCGTCATTATAATTTGCTTCCGATAGTGAAGAAAGTGACACAGAGGTTATTGAAAACGAAAAAATTTCAATTGACAAATTAGTCGGTATTCTCGACACAGCAATTATAGGACCTGAACAGCGGAGCTTTGTAACTGAACAAGAAATTATGTCTGTTTATAGAATTAAAGAGAAAGTATTATCACATAAAAAACGAAGCAACTTAAACAACTTACATTGAAAGAAATGTTTAATAAAGTAAACAAATAAATATAAAGCTTTTTTTTTTTTTTTTTTTTTTTTGTAAATTTTGATACCCTTTAGATCATAATTGTTCTTTATTTCATAAATTATGGTTTCATATTTTTAATTTTATAATTTCTGCATGCCATCTTACCAGATTTAAACTGATGATCTATAATCCGGAAAAATTGATAATCCGGAATCGTCGAAGTCCCGACGAGTCTGGATTAATGACTTTTGACTGTATAGGAAATTTTATACACATTCTAAAAAATTAAATACATAAAGTTTGGTTCACAAGCAACAAAAACTGATGAAAATACTTAATTTCAAAATCTGCAATTTTTTACGTTATTGTCCACTTGCCTTAGGGAAAGTTAATACATAAATTAGAATAATCCAAGATTGATTTTCCCCCTTAAATACCATCAACAATTGCAGAAGAACATAAATGATGTTTAATTATCGTGATGCGATTGAGCAAACCTTTTAAAATTTATAATTTTGTTATACACAGAATACACATTATATGAAAGAATTTCATCACTAGTAATTTATAAGTTTTCAAATTCTAAAAATATATTATTAATATTCTCATGCAATTTTAGTACTTTAAAACAAAATGGGCAAAAGCCAGCACATGACCAAATGAAGCCCTTTCTATTACTTAATCTGGCCCATTAGGAAACCCTGTGCAATGATATTTTCATCTCTTTACCATCCAATTTTGCACGCGAAATACCAAAGTCAGAAGCATCAGTGCACATCTGTTCTTACAGTGTATATGCACATATACACCTATGACTATATTAGCAGTCAACCTAAGCTGAGAGCACTGGATACATTAGAAAGCATGTGCATTCACTAAAGTACATAGTTCTATCATTTCTACCAGTTTCACTTTAGAAATTAAAAAATTTAATATGAATATTGTTTAAATAAAAAGATTGATAAGAAAAGTGAATCTGGGGAAAACACATTTCCCCAATAAATTTTTATTTAAAAATGAAACAGTATACATGTCAGATACTAACATGTACAGTCAAAAGTCTTTAA